TGTAGGGAGCGTTGTGCAGGTTTAGTGATCTTGGCACACCCTCTATGCCCTGTCTGCCCCCCCAAGTGACTGCCGGGCCTTGCTGGGGTTGCAAAGCTCTGTCTTGGCAAGGAAGTTAAGGAAATGTCGCCAGCAGGCAAGAAAGTTAGTAGTCGTCACTTGTTAACTTGCTAACTCATCTTGCAGCCCTGCGTCTGTGCCTGTGTGAGCTTGTTGCATCTGTGGCACCTGAATGCATGTTGTGTTTGTGAGTGTGAGCTCGTTTGCTGTGGAAGGACTTCACGGTTCGTCCAGGACTGCTTTTTCTTGCTCTGCAATGATCTCCCCTTGTGCTTGCTCTCCTCAGGCTACGTCCAGTTTGACAACTGCAACTTCGAAGGCGGGCAGCTGCAGATCCAGGTGCCAGGGACGTGCCAGGTGAAGTTCTGCACCTTCAGCTAGTCCAGCATCCACCTCCGCAGCGTGGCCCTCTGCGTCCTGGAGAACTGCGAGTTCACCGGCAGTGAGAACGCCTCTGTGACCATGGAGGGCTGCCCGAGCTCCGACCGTAACTGGGCTTGCAAGCACCTGGCCGTGCTGGCCAAGTCCTGCGCAGTGTTTGTGCAGCAGCCTGACCCAGCCGGTGCTGAACGGGATAGCTTGGGGGGAATTGCTGCTGGGACCAGTGAGAATGTCCAGAATTGTTGTAGGGGAAGAACAAAGCAGCTTCCTCTCTGCTGGGGGCACTGAAGCCCTGCTTGGCTCAGCCCAGGACACTGAATTCGGAGACAACCTGCAGGCAGCAAAGGAGGAGGAGTACCCGGCCCTCGACTCAAAGTCCAGTAACAGTGAGTCACGCAGCAACGATGAGGAGGATGCTCAGGCTGCACGCAAAGTGCCCTGCCAAGCCCACCGCCAGAGTCGCGTGTGTGCAGACGTTACACACAGCAGGCTGCACGCCCTTCAGAGGGACCTCAAGCTCAAGTCTCTGCAGCAGGAGCTGCAGCAGGACAAGGAGGCCCAGTTGTTGGCCAGCTCTCTGCAAGGCTGCATCATCCGGCAGTGCCTCTTCAGGGACAGGAAGGGAGGAATCTTCATTTATTCGCGAGGGCAAGCAAAACTGGAAGGAAGCATCTTCAGGGATCTGACCTACGCAGCAGTGCGCTGCATACAAAACAGTAAGGTGCTGTGAAGACCGCTGCGAGCCCCCTCCCCTCTCTCTCCTGATGCACGACCTGGGGTAACCAGACCAAACGGAAGGCAGCTGCCTGCTCTCTGCATGCAGTAGCATTGTAATTGCAATTGGAGGTGTTAGCTTCGTGGCATGTAGGGATGGTGTAGTCAGACCCGCTCTGCCTGTAAGTTCACCTCACCCTGTACGTGTGCTGCTGGCTGTCCTCACCTTTGCTGCCCCCAGCACAGGCCGTACCATAAACGTGGGGACTTGGGGACTGCGGTGTCAGCCCCGGTCTTGCCCCTCGCCACAGCCCATGCTGGCTGCTTTGGGAGAGCCTGCAGGAGTGGGTCCCTGCTGCAGGCAGAGATGGGGTGTGAGGATGGATTTGGGCTGGGGATGTGTGCTGGAAGCTGGACTGACGTTTTCCCTCAATGCAGTATTGTCTAACCCTGTGCTTGCCCCGAGCTCTCTCCCTCTGTGGATGTGCTGCTCTTCAGACAAGGCAGCAATGGCGAGGACTCAGGTCTGACCAGGGAGGGAGGTTTCCTCACCGGTCTCTCTGCCTGTCCGTTCTCCAGAGCTTCCACGGGGAAGCTTTCACAGCTCAGGGATGGGGAACCCCGCTGGACTGTATTCCCTTTTTCATGAAGGATTTTGCAACTTCAGCGTCACCTCACTAAATGAAAAACAGCCGGGAAAACAGCCGTTAACTTCTTCCTCTTTGCCCACCGAGATTGCTGCTGAGGTAGTTCACAAGCGAGCAGCTCCTGAGATGACATGTGCTCCTGGAAGGACCAGTGGTGCGTCTGGCAAGACCTCTTCAGCCTGAGCCCCGGAAAAACCTCTCTTCCCATGGGTCCTGTGGGATTATTTATTTGGGAGTCACTTGCTTTGAGGCTACTTTGTCAGTGACTGTCTGCATTTGTGCCAGAAGGCTCAGATGATGTCCTGTGTGGTCTCGCTCCATTTCTGTTTGTGCTGGTTCTGACTGAGAAGGGGCACACGGACCAGCGCGGACATAGACACACAGTGTGCATCCCTCCGGCAGCCCGGCTCAGATGCTGCCTGCCCTGTACCTGCCCCTGGGTCCCAGTCTCCCCAGTTTCTGGCACCGGGACATAGAAGCTCCCAGGGGCTGCAGCACCCCCAGCAGACACACACAGGCACATGGAGAGAGACAGACAGACAGCGTGCCTGGCTGCCCAAACCACTTCACGTCCTTGCTGGCAGCAGCCCCACGCAGATTTGGGTCCCCACACACCACTGGTGCTGGCACACACGCCGAAGGGAGCCCTCGCCCCTGCAAGAGTCAGAAACAGCATTTGGTGAGCGGACAGGACAGACTGCACTCGTCAGGTACCAGCATGGCCAGACGGTGTCTGTCCTTGGCCACCAGCATCTGCCCTTGGCCACCAGCCACCTTTTTACACACAACAGGCCACTTCTGATCCCCTTTTCGCTCTGTTTTCCCATGTTTGTTCTCCCCAAACCACGCTGATGCCTGTGTTTCCCCACATTTGGTTCCTCCCCTGGGCCTCCTGTAACAAGCCTTGTGCAATCCCGGGATGCTCGTCCCCTGTGCCTCGCAGCATGTCCCGTACCCCTGGAAGAGACCCCAGGGTCTGGGGTGTGCTCAGGAGAGGGTGGGGGTCCCCCAACCCATGGGGCTGAGCTCTCCTGGGACTGGGGGGAGCTGGGCAGGGGCATATGGCTCTGGGGGTGTCATTGGGGGTCTCCTGCTGGCCCCTGGGCTCAGGGCTCTTCCTGGGGGGGAGGCTTTGGCACGCTGTAACCTCGCATGACCAGGTCGAGGTGTCTGCCTTGTCATCCCCCGCCTGAACTGGACAGTAGGTTCCCAGATGGATTTTCTCTCTCTGTCACATAACAAGCTGTCTGCACAGGTTTCTCCTCTGGTACAAGCTGACAGACCCCTGCTACACAGGCTGATGCTGTCAGAACATCCAATCCACTTTTTTTTTTTTTTTTTTTTTTTTTTAAAAAAAAGATACTTTT